GGGGGGGGGGGGGGGGGGGGAGCGGAGAAAACGCCACAACCAAGCACCGTTACGGAGCCGCTACGTCACAAACGCTGACACGCTGCCGTTTCCGAAACTCACCGCCCGGCCGCCAAACTGGGCGTTATTTCGTATCGAATTTCGATGTTTGAATCGTTATCGGTTGACTTTGATCGATAGATAGCACCGGTATGATAGGGGTCCATCGATTGACGTCACTCGATGACAGTGGCGTGGCGTGCTTTGCGATATATCGATTGTTCTGCCATTTAAACCTATGGTAAAGAATCGATTATTAAGGTGTTCGCTGCGAACACCCTGATTATCGATCCTTTTCCATACGTTTAAATGGCATAACAATCGATATATCGCAAAACACGCCACGCCACTGCTCGATGACGACTCGGCAATCGGATCGCGGGGCAGCGAAGCGGTTTTGATCGAGTGGACGTGACAACAGGCACCTATCGACGGAAGTGATCTTTGCCGGTGGTTGGGGATGAATGGGCGGGGGCGGGCGGAGGGTGACTGCCGACGATTTTATTTCACCCGACGACGGTCGACTTCCGTGTTGCGGAAAAGAGACGTAAGTGGATTTCGGGATGAGGCTCGAGACATAAAGAAGCATGCTCTAACTGTGGCTCATGCAGAGCTGCACTCATGGCTCTCTTACGTGACACGCAGTCGAGGTGCGCACTGCCGTACTGCCGTGCTAAGGAAGAACGCCGTATGAGCCTTCAGACGTTGCCAAGTTTCCTTCGATAAAAACCAAATTTGTTAGAAAAATTGTGTACATTATTGTCCAAAATTTTCAGACAATTTTGCGCTCAATTTAATCTAGAATATCTGAAAATTTCAAGGAAAAATATGCATGCATGTTGCGAAAAATACACGTTTCATCAAGGGAAATTTGGCAACTCTCGAATGTTCATACGACATCTTTCCTTAGCACGGCAGCATGCTAAAGAAAAACGTCGTACAAACCATCAGGCGTTGCCTAATTTCCTTTGATAAAACGCAAATTCCCTGGTGAACTTATGAATATTTTTCTTCCAATTTTTAAGATAATTTGTTCGGAATGTCACCTAAAGTCCCTGAGAATTTCGAGGAAAAATATTCATACCTTTCTTTCAAATTGAAAATTTTATTGATGGAAATTTGGCAACTCTCGGATGTTCAGACTGCGTTCTTCCTTAACACGGCCGAGCAGGTCTCCGGGATGTGCGGCCAATTACACCATGGCGACGGTGCCAAAAGTTGAGTTCTTCGGTTAAATGAGTCCGTTGCACACGGCATATCAAGGGCTAAGGAACAATACCGCCTAATTGCACGTATTTCTGTCAAACGGAACTATGTGCATTATGTCTTGAGCCCTGTTAACACATATTCCTATGGGTCTCAGGGCTCATGTCTTAATGCACAAAGTTCCGTTTGGCAGAAATACATCCAATTGACAATTTTGGCGAAAATGAGTCAGTGACTTTGC